TCGGGAGAGGCCACGACAGTGAGAGGCCCGCGTACCGCAAAAAAAAAAGAGAGAGAGAGAGAGAGAGAGAGAGAAAATAAATAAATAAATAAAGACTAGAGATTTGGTCCACAGGAGGTAACTGTAGTTAAAACCTGTGTTCACTAGGGAGCTTTTCTCCTCACTCTTGTGGGCAAATAACCTAACGGAGACTAATTTCAGATACAGACCATGTCCGCATAGATGAGGCCTGTGTACGACTCGCCACACACAAGTGCGCCCCACCTGTGAGATGACCGCTTGTGAATGTCCTTCAGCCTTGGGGCAGAGAGCCTGGTGCTCTGTTTCCAACAGCGATCTTCGCTTCCTCCCTGAGTTTCTTTCTAAATTTTATGCTGACTTATGGTTTGTGTTTTCACATACAGTTTTAACCAAGACTGCATCAGAGTGTTTGGGGCTTAATAATTTTTCATATCCACAGTGTGAAAACATTGTTCCAAGCCATTGTTTTTATTGCATACGTATAGTAGCCATTGAGTCACAATTATTTAGGCTTTTTCTAATTTTTCGCCGTCAAAAATGACACTGACGGATACATCATTGTGACTTAACATTTTATCACGTCCCTTATTATTACTTGTAGGAGTAGAATTGCCAGTGTTTATCTCTTTAAGGCTCTTAGAAAAGCCTTCCCCCATTCTCCTGGCAGTGGGCAGGGGAGCACGGCCTGTCACAGGGGTTGCAAGCCTGCCTGCGCCCTGCAGGGAGGGTGCAGATCAGGTAACCGCGGCAGGGGCCAGGCTGACAGAGTGTGCCTTCTCCACGGCCTAGAACAATCACCATGAGGAGAACATCTCTTCAAAGATGAAGGGCCTGAACGGGAAAGTATCAGACTTGGAGAAAGCTGCCGCCCAGAGGAAGGCAAAGCTCGACGAGAACTCGGCCTTCCTTCAGTTCAACTGGAAGGCTGACGTGGTGGAGTCCTGGATTGGTAAGCACGGCCTCGGCGCTGCCCAAACCTCTTACCCTCCCAGGCCGGGAAGATTGTTCAGAACCACAGCCTGTTTGCTTCCTATGCAGCTGGTTTTCTTCTGCGGAAAAGAAACCGCTGGAATGTGAGCGTATCAGAGACCCCTGCCACTGGGCAGACCACTGGTGGCAGCGGGAGACAGGGTCCTGGGGCAGAGAGCCGAGCCTCAGCGGTGCCCCTGGGCCAGCACGAGGGTTAACAAAACAAAGGTCCTGTAACGCTGAAAGAAGCAGTGGGCACTACAACACAAATAAGGGCCACACGAGCCGGACCAGCCTGCACCGGCACTGTCCCCGAGCTACACGGGTCCAGGGTGTGATCCAGCCCCCAGGCGAGGAGGAACTGCACCGATTTCAGGACCCACATGACCTTGGTAGTTGCTGTCGCATCAGTAGCGACTGAACAGCATCGAGGACAGGCTGGAGGGACCCCTTCAGGACACAGACGTAGAAGGGAGCCCGGGTACAGGGAGGAGCCAGCTCATTTGGGTTCAGAGACTGCTGTCAGTAGTATTGGAATTCAAATGTAAGCAAAATAATAGGTGCCTCGGTTTTCTTTCTTCTTTTCTTTTAAATTTGTTACATTGAAAAGGGATGGTTGATTTCCCATGCTTGGTTTTCTAGGTGAAAAGGAGAACAGCTTGAAGACAGATGATTATGGTCGAGATCTATCTTCTGTCCAAACTCTCCTTACCAAACAGGTCAGTCGTGGCTGCTTTGTTGATTGATTGATTGAAATACACTCAAATAGTATTTCCTGGTGAATGAATGATGGTCAGCGTCTTTCACTGAGACATCTGACTATTTATATTAGGCCCGAGGGGCCAGCAGTAAACAAGGTACAGTCCTGGTCCTCAGGAAGCTCTCAGACTACGCCTCTGAGCTGCAGCCTGATGGGTGCTAACAGGGCTGAGCACAGCAGGATGTGGACTTCACTCAAGAGGTAAGAGGTGTCTGACTCAGTTTCCAGCAGGCAGGCGTTGACGGGAAAGTCTTCCCAGAGGAGGTGACATCCAAGCTAGATCACGGAGGGTGAACTGAAAGTGGTTTGGTGAAGAGCTGGGCGGGTATTCTTGGCAGAGGTAGGTGGGGGGAGCCCGGGTGCCTCAGCCCGAGGCTGAAAGCAGGGCCTGGGAGGAGCTGCCTCCGTGACCTGAGGTCTGGAGGACATGCAGCACAGTGGTGACCACGGTGTGACCAAGGGTCAGGAGGAGGTGGGGACTCGAGGCTGACAGTCTGGCCTGGGCAGCTGTCTGGACAGACGCGGGTGCCGTCCGAGCTGAGGCGCCGGGAGGCCTACAATCTCATCTCAGTGCGGTCCCTGCATGTTGCCTTCTCGCTCCCCGTTCCAGGAAACCTTCGATGCTGGCCTGCAGGCCTTCCAGCAGGAGGGCATCGCCAACATCACTGCCCTCAAAGATCAGCTGCTGGCCGCCAAGCACGTCCAGTCAAAGGCCATCGAGGCCCGGCACGCCGCCCTCATGAAAAGGTGGAGCCAGCTTCTGGCCAACTCAGCCACCCGGAAGAAGAAGCTGCTGGAGGCTCAGAGTCATTTCCGCAAGGTGAGCTTGGCCCCGGCCGAGCTCAACCAGCTCATCGCACAGGGAAAGCAAACCCCTCTCCCGGGACAGAGGTTCTGCACGGGGGTGTGGAGTCAGCGTAAACCAAGGGAAGGGGGACCCTTGCCTTCATGAGGCTGCTGCTCGGAAGCTTCCGGGAAGACCGAGCTTGCACGCCCCAGGGAAAGGGGAGCAAGGGGAGAAAGAGGGAGGACTTCTCAGCAGTGGGAGAAGGGCAGCAGAGAGCCGAGCCGAGCCGAGCCAGCCCGACACCCTGGGAACAAGCCCCGCCTTTCTGGTGCCCACGCCGCCACCCCGCCCACCAAGGATGGTCCATTCAGCCCCTGCAGCTGTGCTGACTCAGTCTCCTCTGCTTTCAGGTGGAGGACCTCTTCCTGACCTTTGCCAAAAAGGCTTCCGCCTTCAACAGCTGGTTTGAAAACGCAGAGGAGGACTTAACAGACCCGGTGCGCTGCAACTCCCTGGAAGAGATCAAGGCCTTGCGTGAGGCCCACGACGCCTTCCGCTCCTCGCTCAGCTCGGCCCAGGCCGACTTCAACCAGCTGGCCGAGCTGGACCGCCAGATCAAGAGCTTCCGCGTGGCCTCCAACCCCTACACCTGGTTCACCATGGAGGCCCTGGAGGAGACCTGGAGGAACCTGCAGAAGATCATCAAGGTGCCTTTCCCGCTGGGCCGGGTGGGCCTGGGCAGGGAAGCCCTCCTGGCTGAAGCGTAAGGAGGTGGGGGAGGAAGCGTAGCGTCATTCATCACAAGTCACCCTGCGTGGGTCCCGCAGGCCCGCGTGGCTGTGATCCCCGCCCCCACCCACCCCCAACCCACATCTTGCAAGGTCTCTGGGGAAGCGGGCTGGCGAATGCCTCCCAGACGCCTTCTGTGCTGTCTGCAGGTTGAGATGAACAGCTCGTCCTCCCTGACCCGCCCCCCTCCACCCTGCCCCCCC